TTAACAAAAAGTTAAAAAAATTTTCAGTTAACTGTTCAGGAGAATCAAAATATACCTTTATTTTTAAGAATCCTGTTATTGGTACTTGCTAATTGCATTCTAATATTTCTTAAACTAAGACTGAACTGGGCTGTGAAAAAACTGCAAGAGCAATTGATATACACAAAAAATCCCCCTTCATTTGCAGAATTTTATACTTCAAGTCGTTTTTTTTGCAGTCTTAAATAAGTTTCCTGTTGAAAATATTTATTTCAGTTTGAAATTTGTATTCAGTTAGAACTTGGAACTAATAAATTTCAAAGTTTTCATTCATACTTAAGAACCAAATTTAACTCTACTTCATGAGTAGTTTCTGTTAATTATGTTCAGTAAAAATAAATTGCTTTAGTTCTGTGAAGATTCTAGAATGTGAAAAAAGAACCTGAAATTATTTATCAAATTTTTCTATTTAAAAAATCACTGTACTGTGGTTTTATTTATTATGCTTTTGTTTTTCATAATTTTTTCAGACTTTTTCAATATTTTATGGCACTGTCGCTCACTCCTGCAATAATAATCCATTCAAACGGGCCGTGGTTTTCCCATCACGCAATGCAAATCAACCGCCAAAGTATCGCATGCATTTTTCATAATTTCATTTTCAGACCAGATGTCCAAAAATCCGTTTCGCTCTTGTTGCTGCACACGTGAGCAGTTTTCCATATATGTGTATTCGCGGGATGGAAGCAATAAACCAATTAAAGAGCCGCTGCCAGGGAGGAAATTAATTATTTTTATCTGCCTGTTGTGTGTTTGTGTATAACGCTTTGTGTTTTGTGGTTAAGCGGCGAGAGTGAAAAACCCCGGCCATCGTGTGAGGTGCAATACACGTCAGATAGACTTCTTGCGTACCATACAATTATTATACACGCCGGCTGTTAAAGGAACACGCCAATTACCGAGAGCAATATTTCGTTTCGCAGGGTGTAAATCAGTTTCCGCTTTTTATTTGCATTTACGACCGCCAAAACTAGTCATGCAAATTTTGCCGCTTGAATGAGAATGTTGAGAAATGATATTTCCTTAAAGAATTAATTTTACGAGGAAAGTAAAGCGTCTTTCCAAAATTAAAAAGTAGCCTGATGATAAACTCTTAGTGAACAGTGATTAATTTTTTAATTTTATAAATTATGAATATAATTTCCACTGTCGTATTTTTATTTTTCTTCACAATAAATGTTGTTTTCTATGATATTATTGAATTAATTTTGGCCACATTACAATAGTTTGTATTTAATCTTATTTTATCTGTTGTTGGATAAAAAAAAATTGGATTAGAATATATATCCTTGGCCAGAATATATAGACTTCCAAAATGCTGTTAGAAATATTTTCCCATAGTTAAATAATAGCCAAGATAGCTTTTCAAAATTGTTCCCATTTATTACGGTTCATTTAAATAGTTCGAGACTGCAGGGAAAAGTATTTATGAAAAAATTATTTCCTAAAAACTCTGCTTTGAGAAGAGTGACGTAAGTTTCAAAAGCAAGCAGAGAGATAATCAATTCCGTTTACCAAATTAATTTATTCCAAGAACGCATTTTAATTTTTATGGCCTCTCCCAATAAAAAAACGTGCTCTCCTCCTGCTGACAAATTTTACTGCCACGCACTTTATTATGGAAACCCTAAATCCATCAAAGTCCCTCGTTATAATTTCTAAATTAAATGTGATGCATGATAAGCGTTTTCCGCATTTTTGGCGCGTTTCTCCTTAAAAAGGGACGCCTCGTAAATTATGTTCGGCTAGCGAATCGTCCCGGGATTATCATATCAAAGTGCAGTACATATCAAATACAGCGCATTAAGGCGATTTTAAGTACCTTCCGAGTGATGGTAATCCCGCGATAAAGTCAGGAAACGCTAGAAAAAGCAATAAAATTTGTTCTCGGCGCGATACGGAATAAATAAATAAATAAAATTCGGAATTAATTTTCACGGTTTTGAGAGAAGTGTCTATAAGTGCGCGTTTGCTTCTGTTTCCGCTTTCTAATGGACCCTAATAAGGCGCTTATCTCTCTCAAACGAATTGAACTAGCACGCATCCTCAAATATTAAAGATAATGAGTTCAGGAGAATTTAATTCCAGGGAAAGAGAAGCATCGATGGATCATAATGAATTATTCTTCTTTTTCACCAGGCTGAGTATTTTTTAAATGATAAACGCGCGACGACGCCGACCACCTAGTGTGAAAGGATGGACACAAAAACCGCCGGCGTGAATAAAGCGGAGGCTTTGTTTATTCTTCACAATCTTCACATATTTATTACGAAAAAGTCAACATCATTTTATAATTTAATATTCAAGTTCACTATAAGATATTAGTTTATTAAAATTTAATGGCAAAGAAAAAATGTTACATTTAAAATAATTAAACTTATTTTTCTTTGATTTAATGTTAATAAGAATGATTGATATGCTTTTTATTATTATTATTACAAAATTGCAATTACATTATTTTATTTGCTTTACAGTTTGCTGTTTTGGCAACAAAAATATTTTTCCCCTTTAATCAATACATTTTATATAAAATAAATTGTACAATATATCTGCAACAAATTAATAAACATCATTGATTAATATTGAACTTCTTCAATCTCCGAGAATGTTCCTTGTCGAATTGTTAATATAATTTTCATTGATTATAAATAATGAATAAAGAATACGGTCGATAAACCATTTTACTGATTTGGGAATCAGAAGCAGACATTTACTTTTTTATTGTAAATTTGATTTATTTGGTTTTATCCATACTATTAATTTGAACAGTTATTAATTTCCCGATTACTAATAATGAATAACGTGTAACGCTTATGAAGGTCGTGTATAATTTTTGTCAATTATTGTGTCGAGTCATGCGTATAGATTGCACATTACCCAGAACCGGCCGTCGCGTATCTTGAAAGCGCTCATTGTTTGCTCCATGTATAAATAGCCTCCTCTTCTTTCTCTTGCTCGCGTGGTAAGTAAGTTTGTCCAAAACCATTTTTTATGTAACATCTCCACGTCGCCAGGCGCGTGCCGCCGCTCCTTGAAAGGAGAAAGAAAATAATAATTTTACCTGAGATGTAACAGAAGCGGCTCGGCGGGTCTTTAATTTTGTCGGAAATGCTGTAACCCTTTCTTGATATCATCAATTTGTCTTTATAATATATACAAGAGATCAGCTGATTCGATATGCAAAAGGTTGCAAAAAGTGGACAAATTTTATGTAAAGCAAATATATGATTCTTTATCGAAGACTCCTATCTTGTTCTTATCATGCTAATTTATTTCAATCGAGAAAATTAAAACAGGCCGCTGTTTTCTCCTTGGGATTTGAATGTAGGTTAACATGTGTCTGATTTAAATGTCTAAAACAATTTTAGAAATACAATAATTTTTGCATATCTGACTAGCTTGAAAACTAGATTTAACATTATGGTTGAAATGATCAATAGTTAAATTTAAATAGAAAAAAGGTATAAGTTTTATTTTTACCTGATATTTGCACCACAAATTATTCTATAGTATCATATGATGTGAACATGTTATCAATATTATGTATTTTTTTTTTATAAATTATTAGAAATAAAAGTAATTAATTTTAAAGAAGGAAAGAATCACATTTAAAAAGAAATAATAAAAAACCAAGATTTGCAACAAAATAATTATTAAAAACATTCATATCAGAAAATTGTAAGTACAACTTTGTAATAGCGTATTAAATAAATTAAGCTTAATTAAGTGTGCATATTTTTTTTTGTATTATTTTAACACTTTAAGACATCCTTTCTTCTCCTCCTTTTAATAATTTCCCTTCGTTTTCGCAAGGGAAAAGTCTGTTATTCAGAGATTCTGTGCGTTCGCCATAATGCTGGGCGGAATAAATCGTTCTCCATGATGTGGCGTATCTCATCCAGTTTTAATCTGAAACGGGGCCCGCCACGAGCTGAAAAGAAACTACTACTCTCGCAGCGCTCGGAATGAGTTTTGGATTGGCACAAAATCTCATAAGTCGCCGGGCCGGGTCTCGGGGAAAATAAGAAATTCAATTTTCCTCGATATAAATTGCATACAAATATTTATTGATATCAAAACCTTTTCCTCCACCGCCCGACTATACATCCACCACTGTAATATGAATCAATAAAAAAATTCATTCCTTTTCTCCGGCGTTCGTTCGGGGCAGAGAGGGAATTTTTTCCTTATATATCGCAGCAACTTGAGGCATTTTCAATCGTCCAGAGTCGGAATATATATCGAGAGAAAACTCTCCGACTACTTTTTCTACTCTCTTTTTTTCTCTCTCTTCGGCTCCTACTTTTCTTACATGGGCACCAGGTTTTCCATTTCGCTTTGTGAATCTTTTATCGACTAGTTTGTGCAATCCATTATGGCTGCTGCCACCCAGCCCGAGGCGCTGTGCAAACTTTGTTTGAAGCTTTTTCCAAAAAATCCTATATGTGTGCGTGCGAGCGGCTGCCAGGCCAGGCTGCTGTTTTATATAAAGAAATTCGATTGGATGCCATCGCCACATTACACACGGCCAGCCTTTCCTTCCTACATTATGTAAGCATTAGATGTAAGGGTCCTCGCTCTCTTCTTATGCTTTCCTCCTTTATGTCATGCTTTTCCTACGTATAAGAGGCTTTTTTTGATGTGTCCGCCCTGCAAGCTCCATTTTTATTGAAAAGGCGCCGGGAAAAGCGCGGAATGGAAAAGAGGAGAAAAGAGGCCAGCAGCGTTGACATTGGAAGGGTTTCATGTGAAAGAGAAAAAATGCTGATTACTTCAAGTCTACATTTCTTCTAAACCTTTTTCACAAATAACATAAAAAAAATATATGGAGCAATGAAGTATTAAACAAAGTTAAGTCTAATTAAAATTTTACAAATATGCAATTAAACTTTTTTTGGCAAAAATTTTAATGCAAAATTATTGTTTTCTTTAAATAAAACTGCAACAGATATGGAATAAAATAGAATTTTATTTCAGACATAACAATAATATGAAATGTCACTTTGAATATCATAATATTTAGAATCTAATTTTTTTCCCATTTGTACCACTTTTCTCGCACTTGTAGAGGCGATTTATTTTCTGGATATCCATTGAACTCATTTTTCTGTTCTTTGTAGTAATCACTTTCTTATTAAAGTCTTGATATGGTGGCTAAAATTTTCATAAAATTAAATCTCCAATTTTAAAATTTTAATGAATTTTACCTTGAAATTTATAGTTGGCAATTTTGGGTTTTTAGCAAAAGCGTATCGAGAGTAATGCATAATGCTTTCTGGGTCGTATGTACTTCCCAGATTATTGCTGTCCCTTCTTTCAAAATTGTGAATATTGGCTGTTGATTAGTTCAATTAATTTTAACATGTTAAAAATAAACTTTTTTAAATTCTTACGGTTCTTAATGTTTTTATACAAAATCTGTACGTATTTGTCCCTATCTCCACGCGATTGCTCGTGAAAGAAGCCCAAAGCGTGTATAAACTCGTGGGATACAGTTTTCTAAAATTTTAAATCTTTGTACACTTCTAAATATGTAATGAATATTTTCAATACTTTATTAATGCATCGTGGACGTTGCAAATTTAGTCTCTGCGACCCTCCTCTGCGGCCAACAGAAGAAAAACATCCTGTGTGGTTACTCGAGATATCAATGTAATCCTTGGCCACACCAGGATTGTAGTCGAAAAACTTAACGCAGGTGTGCTTTTCAATTTCCTTCATTCCGGACCTAATGACGGCTAAATCGCTTGGGGCTTAAAAAATTATATAAATATTATAATGATTTTAATTCAAAAGCATTTTGAAGAGCTTACTGAAAACGTTGGAGAATTTGACATAAACCTTTGCATTTGGCCAACGGTAATTTTCACCCATAATGGCGCTTTTTGGAGATGAGGGATCGTCTTCGAATAAGATGTCACCCTCCAAGTAATCACCTCTTTCCTCAGGATCATCCATAGAAGTGCTTGCATTCCATTTGTCCAAATTTATTCCTTTTAAAAGTAAGAATGAAATCTGAATTTTATTTCTGATGATTGATATTTAAATTAAGATTGAGTCAAAGGATATTTTAGAGATGTTCCTTTTGAATCTTCTCTTGATCTGAGCCAAAAAAGCTGCAGCTAAGAAATGGGTAGAGCAAAGGATTTTCCACACGAAAAAATAATTGACTTAAGAAATTCTACCAAAGAATGGTCAACTTTCCATTCATTTATTTAAAACATGAATTTTCTTATATACCTGATCTTTCATCTGGCGAACCACGGTTCAGAATCCAACTTTCAAGTTGCATTTCTCGAAAATCCTCTCTGGCTTTCTTCTCATTTTCGTCCACATCGCTGCTAGCCGTGGTTGTCACCGTTGCCAGTGTTGAAAATGATGGAGCCGCTATTGATTTCCCAACCAAAAGTTGAAGAAAACAAATTACGAGAATGAAACTCTTCATGTTGGAAAAAGCAGTTGTGTTCCAGAAGAGTTGCTGAACCTTAATGAGAAACTGCCACCTCTGTGGATATTTAAAAGGAAGCATTTTCAAGGTTTTGCTGATGACCTTTTTCAATAATCACCACAGAAAATCCTCCCACAAATCAAGGCCCTTATATTTTTAACACGTTAAGTTAAAAATCAAGTCAGCCAACAAAACCTTGGTGAGAAACAAATAAGGATGCGGCCAGAAAATTAGGTCTTGCAGGACAACAACAAGGAGTTTAAGCATTTCTGATGAACAGAAGTCATTAAGGACGGGATTTTTCAAAGTAAAAAAAAATTAGATGTGGAAGACAATAGTCCTTTTATGATGATTTGAGGGTGTGACTAATGAAAGAAGTAATTATTTTGAAGATATTTATTGAAAATGAAACAATTGAAATAAGCGACCTTACTTCTGAACACTTCAATGTGCTTTGGCATGGTTTTGATAATATAAGCAAACCCTGACCTCATTTTGTGAGACGGGATTATATTTAAAAATTAGGAAGTTACACAAATAATGGCGTTGAACTTAAGATTGACTCAAGCAAATTTCCAAAACATGAATACTAAAAAAGTTCTTTCCTATTAAATCGAAAGAAATTTTTTTGTTATTATATAGATTAAGATCATGAATTTCTTTCTGACCTACATATTAATAGCCTAATCAAACATAATGCAGGATTGAAACTCAACTTTTATTTCACATACAGCTCTAGATTTTTCAGTTTTCTCCACTTGCTTCACACTTGTAGAGTCGATTGATTTTTTTAACATCGTTCCAACTTAATTTGTTGTCATTTGAACTCAACTTCTCGTAGTCTTGATATGGTGGCTGTGTTAAATTGAATTTAAAAGTCAAAATTATAGTTGCGATTTTTTGAACTGTACCTTGAAATTAATGGTTGGGATTCTTGGGTTTCGCGCAAAAGCATACCGAGAGTAGTGCATTATGCTCAAAAAGTCGTATGGAATGCCTTGGTGATTAGAGTTGTCATTTTTGTTGAAATTATGAATTTCATCTATAAATATATTAAAATAATATTTATTTTTAATATTTAAATCTTAATTATTACGTGGCACGATATTTCCGTAGTTTATCTGAATGTATCGGTCCCTATCTGTGCGCGACTGCTCATGAAAAAAGCCCAATGCGTGAATCATCTCATGAGTCGCCGTTCTCTGAAATTAATTATATCGATAAAAAATATTTGTGAAGGAAAATTGTGATCTGCTACTAAATTCATGCATCCTGGACGTTGCAAATTTAGCCTTTGCGGTCCACCAATGCGGCCGACATTAGAATAACATCCTGTGTGGCTACTCGTGATGTCAATGTAATCCCTCACACCCGGCTGGTAGTAGTAAAACCTGATGCAAGTGTGCATTTCAATGTACTTAATGGCATTCTTCAGCAAAGCCAACTCGCTTGGATCTTAAAATTGATTTTTATTTTTATCCCTAATAAAAGTATTATTAAATTCAACTTACTGAATACAGGGGAGAATTTGACGTAAACCTCTCCATTTGGCCAACGGTAATTGTCACCGATTAGGGCACTTTTTGGAGAAGCGGGATCCACTTCGAATAATATGTCACCCTCTAAGTAAACACCCCTTTCCTCAGGATTGTCCTTTGAAGTGCTCGCATTCCATTTGTCCACATTAAGTCCTTCAAAAGTTTTTACAATAAAACTTTCAGAGAAAAATTTTAATTAATATAAAAAATCAAACCTGCTTTTCCATCTGGCAAGCCACGATTCTTTATCCAACTTTCAAGTTGCATGTGTCGAAATTCCTCCCTGATTTTTGCTTCATTTTTGTCCACAACGGTCCTCGCTGTGGTTGTCGGGGAAATGTGTGATGGGGACGATATCGATTTTTCAACGAAAAACAGGAGGAAGAAAATAAGATGGATAGTTTTCATTTCTCCGCTAATGCACTGTTTGGCTGAGGAGATGTTTGACCGAAATGGTAAACTACAATCTCTTCAGAGAGAAAACAGGAAAGAGAATCTAAAGGATGAGGTTAACTTATTCATACGAATTAAAACTCGTGGTAAAGAGTCATCGACCTTTGTTTGCTTGACTCCAGCAGCTATTTATAGGAATGAACAAAATCCATACGAAAAAGCTGAAAAACTTTCACACACTCAACCCCTTTCCCTCATCCAACCCTTTTATTTTTCAAGAACCCCTTCAGAAGCACATTTTGCACCGTTCTTTCTTTATATGCAGAAATAGCTCATTCCAGAAAAAAGGGAAAATCGAGCAGATGATAAATGGACGAGGGCGCGATGGAAGGGGTCGTAAACTAAATAAAATTATTTCCTCTCCTCTGTACATAGCCGTCGATCACCCCTTTCTCGGATGCAAAAAATAGGGTTGAGACTGTAGCGCCGAGGGGTGCCGCGAAGGGGGTAAATATAAGAAGGGCGGGTCTGCGCATGCTGAAGTCGCCTCTGGGAATTGATGAATATTAAACAGCGCGAGAGCTGCACCTGGGCGGCACTGATTGATCAATCATCACCACTGAGAGTTCAAATAAAAATGACGGATCAGGTTGAAAAATGAATTCGGATTTTCGCCCTCTTCCAAGTGAAAGATTTTGTTAACTAATAATTATTTTTCAATACATTAATAAATTAAATTGTGTGATGTGATATTATAAAACCTCAGTATAAAACATAAAATGCAGTGTGAAAAAAAACTATGAACAATACTATGCTGGTTTATTAATAATTAGAATAATGCTCAAGTTAAAGGGGATTTTTACTGTCCGTTAATAGTCACAAAAAATAATTACTTATTCTCTTTTGGCTCTTTCATCTTTCATCGTTTCTTAATTCTATTATAGAATATCAGTTGGAGTGCAGTTCATAAAATTCTTGAAATTTTACAAACTGATTAAAAGCCTTATATAATAATATTTAAATTTATTTAACATGTAACATGTATGTATAATGTCCGCCGTTAGTGTTCAATAAATATTTCAATTCAATAATATTTAAATAAAATTTCCAAATAAAATTTAGTCGACTGCCTAATAATTCTGGATATTTCGCATTCACTTAAAGAAATAGAAACATATGCAGTGTATTTTTCCCTCTCTCGGCAGTGTCTGCACAGAAGCAGAAATAATTAAGTAGCCCGCAGGAATCCGTGCGTCCGTTGATTAAATATTTCTGATTGGCTTCGTGGAAAGTAATAGCGATTGATTGAAAGCTAGCTTTTGTCGGCTCCTTTTCTTTTTTATTTATTCTTTATTCAAGCAGTTATGCAACAAAGCTGCAGGGTATCTCACATACAGAGGCGAGTGACATGAGCTGCCGCGCGTTGTTAACAGCTCGATGCTTTTTCTGCACACATAGCATACCGAATCGCGACTTTTGCATTTTTTCACCAATGCCCCCGCTGTTCGCGTTCGATACTCGCGGCACAGCTTGAAATCAAAACTCACGATCGATGATTGGTAATAGATCCGATGCAGCAGCCGCGCCGGTTCCCACGTTAATTTTTCTCATACTTTCGCATTTTTCCACACAACACACAAGTGAAGTGAAGCTATTTTCTGACAAAACAACCCTTTTTCGAGTAAAAAAGGGGTTGATGCAAATAATGAATACGCGGAGAATGAACTGCAGCTGATGGAGACCCTTTTTATACAACAAAACCCCCGGAAGGGGATGAAAATTATTAGATACTTTCCCTCGTTCGCGACCGTATAATCAAATGGGCCAGTGAATCCATGAGAAATTTGTGGAATCACACACACAATGTCATTGAATAGGATGTGAATTACGAGATAAAACCCCTCAACCCTTCAACGCAATATTTAGGAAACATTCAGAGGAGCGATAAAATCGTATGATGGCATTTTTTTTGCGGTGATTGGTTTAACAACCTCTTTTCTGTGAGCTTGCAGAGAGAATTATTCGACCAATTATCCACACGTTCAAGTAGCCGAAAAACAAAAAAGAGTTGATGCTTTGATAGCCGCGTCTGTTTAAATGAAAACCTCACCAAATGTCACACCTGATTTAGCAAGCTCAGGTTTCACCAGCCAGAAACGGTCATTTTATCTCCTCGGCAGAGAAAATCTGACTGGCGATTAATTGCTCAATCTCATTTCAAAACTTCCTGTATTGAGTTTAATGAGTATGTTCATTTTGAAGTATCAAATATTAACAAAATCCCCCAAATTATTTTAATATTTCACTCCCTTACCTTCTTAGAGTTTGTTGGCGTGGGGGTGGTGTAGACTATAACTTGCAAGTTAATTTTTAATTTGGGTACTTTATTGACTTATTTTACACAAATTCATAGTAATATAAAAAAAGAAAACTTATAAAAAAAATTAAAACAAAATTTACTGTGTATTTTATTATTTTAAATATATAAAAAATAAAATAATTAATTTCCTTTTATTTAATATTTTTTTTTTCAAAATCTATAAATTTTTGTGCATTTAATTATATTAAAAGCTATTTTTCAGAATAAACAAATTTACAACCATTGACACTAGTTCTTCACTCTAAGCATTATTCAATCAGAATTATCCACAAAATGCACATATGCTGTAGTTATTATTATACATTAACATTAACAGATTGACAGTGACTGTTTGAGATTCATCTTTTATAAAAAAAGATATACTTAATCATTGAAATTAATCAACTAAAATCATTAGCTGTTTCCTAAAAGAAGGTTGACAACAAAGAAATATTTTTTGCAACACTTAAAGTAACTTTGTAGCAATCGAAAAAATAACCAATAGATATAAATCATAATTTCAATCGCTAATTAATTTTACTTGTTCAAAGCAACACAGCCCACACAAAAAAATCCAACTTTTAATAAACAAACTCTTTATTGAAAATTAATAATTTGAGGAAAATGTAAATAAATTGTTAAGTTCTAAGAGCTTTATCTGACTTGATCATAAATCAATGATTTCCACCAACTTGCGTTAAAAGGTATTTACTTCCCCCAAATTCTTCTTTGAGAGTTGTACTCTGTTAAACACCATTATTATTTTTGAAAAATTTGCATCTCCGGTTTGTACATCGACAAACTGTACGTAATTAATTATCATTCATATACACAAGCTTGTTGAAAGTTGTTTTTTTTCCACGACAGAGTTCCACCCACGAAGCCGAGTTATTAAAATGAATGAATCGCGCCGGAACCTTTGAAGTCGTGCGCCTTAACTAAGTCTCCCGTGTACATATTTTTAATCGCCTCTCCACATTTCGGAGAGATGAAATAATATTGAAATAAAACACATCATATTTATAATTCATAAAAAAATCCTACGCTTAATTTAAATAACGAAGAACGGACAAGTATTTAGAGTAAGGCACAATTAATGATGCTTGCCAAGAGAGAGATCGGGGCCCAGCCCTGAAATTATTCATCGGACGATAATTTATCAAAGCATAATACGCAAGACCAAATCAAAACACGTGTGCTGAAAACACAAAGAGTTATACCGCAGCTTTTTGTGCGGCGCAAACTTGATTTTCATGTAGAGTTTTTCGTCAAAAAAGCTCATTTGACTCGTGGTATGCTGAAATAAAGGTCGCGCATAAATATATAGCGGCGGTCTGCTGCTTTTTGCGCGTCATCTCGTTATTCGTACCACTGATTTTCTTTATTTCTTTCTCCTGATGTGTCGGCGGCGGCGGCGGCATTCTATTCTTTTGTTGTGCTCTATAATGTGTGCCGCCTTTGCTGGTGCTGCCTGCCGGAAGGTTCGCGACAGCAAAAAGTGTGTGGCTTGACTAGCTGTGTTTTCGCCAACTTGATGCTCACTCGCTGCCAATCAATTTCATTCACTAGATTTCTCACACAGAGTTTCACTTTCTTTGGAGAATTTATATTCCAGCATAATTCATCAAGAATCAGAGTTGTCTGATATAAAGAATTTAAACTGTTGGAAAATATCATTTATTTGTTAATTTTTCAATTATCTTAGAGAGGTTTGTATATTTCAAAATTAATTTATGTCACTTATTATACAGAATTTCTCACACTGGTTGATTAATATTAATCGAAATATTTTAAAAAAATATTTATTATATTTTATCAAATAATAATGTCAAATAGTCACAACGTCTTTTATGGTCTTGAATATTTCTATTCAAAATAGAGAATAATTTAATTATCAAAGATCTGTTTTCAGTGAATTATAGAAACCAATTAAAGAACAATTTGTCAATGATGTAACACTTTCTCACCAGTCCAAGAAATTATTATTCTTTTTGAGTAATATGACGTCGAATTTTTTAAAATGAATAAAACAATTGAGTAAAGGCCGCTCCAAAAATGGCATAACCGGTGCAAAAAGGCCATGTGCGGATAAGTAATTATAAATGCGAGAGAGATGCACGCTTAATTATGCATCTCGGCAGACTCGGAGAGTTGGTTTAATTCTCAGCATTCAACCGGCACATCTCTCATGTGTGTGCGTTTTTGCCGTCTCATTTTTCCGAGTTGGTAATACGTGATTTGCTTGTCCGGCGCCACTCGACCGATTTATATGTATGTGCACTCTTTCTTTCTTTCTTTGTTGAGAATCCGCGCGAGACTGCAACGCAAGAAAGGTCAACCTGAATTGCTCACACAGACTGGTCAGATCAAAAGCAGAAATCACTTGGCTGCGCTGCCGACAATGAGAGAAGCTGCGCTGTCCGGATTAAGGCTGCAGTGAAATTAATTGTCTCTCTCTCGTGAAGGGCATGAGAAAATTGCGTTTTGCTGCGAGATTTTGTGTTAAGAAAGTGAATTGAAGCGAGAAGCATATTATTTGATTAATTATTGCAAATGACTGAGCGAAAATTAAAAAAGAGGTATTCTGCTGAAGTATTTAAAAAAGTCGGCAGTTTGAAACAATTATGTAAAGAAAAACATGACAATTGGTTCTTTCCCTACAACCAAACATTAATTATTTTTCAATTTAT